AACTAAACGTATACCTAGTAAATAATCAATTGTTTCTCTTTAAACACATTGACTTTTATAATGAAAAATGATGAACACTCGTTCTTTTAATAGTCAATCATTAATATGTTAGTCCATCAATAAAATTTGAGTATAAAGAAAATTTTTTATAATGATTCAAGAATATTTTGTGAATAAATTAAAAAAATTTATTATGATCATTTCTTGATATTTTTCATTGAATTTATGCATTTTTAGCGTAAGTAATACTTTTGTAACCTTTGACCTTTATAAAGCTTTTATTAGTAATTTCTTTTAACTAAAGAATGTCACATTTTGTTGTTATTTATTCATTTATTTAGAGAGAGAGAGAGAGAGAGAGAGAGAGAGAGATTCCGAAGTTAATTCCTAAAAAAACTTTTTCATGATAAAATATCATAGCAATGCAGCTCGATGAAATTCTTGTTGTAGAAAAATCAATTTTATGCATATTGAATATATAGTTTGTTCTTAAAGTATTCATATTTGAGAAAAAATTCATATTGCTTGGCATATCTGTATGGCACGAATGCGATAAAATAAAAAAGATTTTTCTAACTATATAATTGCACATAACTCAATATTTCATGATTATGACGTTATGAAATATCTTCGAGATCGAATTTACAGCTCGGGAAATAATAAAGAAGATGAGTTTATAACGGGCTTTTATAAAAAGATATTAAATATTCCTTACACGCCCATTTTGCCTTTATAGAATATAATGTGATTTATAATGTAATGTTGGCAAGTCAAGCATAACAATCTAAGCCTTCTTGAGGTAAATCTTCGTTTTAAAGAACATCTCTCGTAGAAATTAAATTCCTAAAGAAAGTTATTAAAAATGCGCATGAGTTGTTTCACAAACAACAATATCAAATAGGTCTTTGTAACTGTTAAGATGTCTTTGCAACTATATACATATGTAAGCAAAAATTTAACTAAGTTATAATATAATATACTTTGTATAATTTTATGATAGCGAGAATGAAAGAAATTTCATTCAGGTGAGTGATAAATGAAATTTTTTTGCATATTTCTTTTTACTTTTACTACAAACATTATTTTCTCTTTAACTACTCTCTTAATTTTTTATTTTCATTTTTAAAATATATATAGTACTCTTTTCTCTTTTACTTTTTTATATCTATCTTTATCAAGCTTTGAATTAATTTTATTTTCAACATTATAAGAAATTTCGTCTCTCTCTCTCTTCATCTCTTCGGGCCTTTGCTTCTTTCTGCCACACTAATAATTTAATAACTCGTGTAAAAATAAAAGCAAAGAGATACAAACGTACTCGGCACCTGGAAGATTGATGTGAGCAAAAAATATGAAAGAAGAATATAGAGTATTCGCACATGTAAAATCATTGCTGTCGCGAGATTCTTGTACGGCTTTGACAATTTTTTCGATCAAAAGAAACGTTTTGCGAGCGCATGCGTTGCTAGATTTTTTATTTAATAACAAACTTTTTTATGACCTCAATTTTATGACTGGACGGAAAAGGTACATAACGATTTTACTTTTAGAGCAACGACATTCTCGAGAGAGACGCCTGACAATAAAAATTCCTATAAATGACGATGTTATCTTTGCGAATTCAGCATCCGACGTACTGATGAACGGGCGAATCTCAACGATGTTATCGTCCGCTTGCTGCTGCCAACCGCACTATTCATTGTAGTATTGAACACTAAAACTACTCAATGCCTCCCACGTGCTACATGTACATCCGATCGCCTTTACACCAGTATTCATTCGCGGTACGCAATGGCGTACTTCAGGCGAATACGTAGGGTTCATTTTTACGCGTTTCAAATACGAGATCATTCCAGAATAGGAATTCTCGCAATATCACGTAAGCGTGGTAAAATTCTACGTGGTAAAATTTTCCTGGAAAATGCGCGCGAATAAAAGCTCATAAAATGCTCTTTTGAAAGTGTAAGTATTAAAAGATATTTTATATTGAATATTAAAAGGTATTCACAATTTGTTTCTCAATTGTTAATCTCAAATAACGTAATCATTCTATGTCAGTTTGTTTATATATTGAGAATGTTGAGTTCTAATCATTACTCAATATATATTCCGTTCACATATTATGCGTGAAACAATACGCTTATCGACTGTCAGAGTAAATAAGATCGAGCATTGAAACATTCTGTAATATCGTTCTAACGTTCTCATTTATTAGCATTAATTCGTCGCCGCGAAATTGAAAAATATGCGAAACTGTGATGATCATTAAGCTTTTATTATCATAACGTCTTATTTACTTAAATCATATAACTTTTTACATCGACACATTAAATGTACGGTAATAATATACATTACGATGTGAGTTTATTTATGGATTGTGCTAACATGTATATACATTTGCATATTATAATATTTTTCTGTAAATAACTCTGACATTAATTAACAAAAAATGTAAGCATACTTCACTTCGTGAAATTGTAAAGTGTATTAAAAATAAAAATTGTAAATTCAAATATATATCCGTGACGCAATATAAAACTTTTGTCAACAGATATGGCCATATATTTAAATTCCTCATTTTTAAATACATTAGTGATGGATTTAGAAATAAACTACATCAATAAAAATCTCTTTTAGATAAAGACCGAGACAAATATTTCAATAAAAATATTTCAGATAAAAATGCTTTTAGGCTTTGAAACTTTTTTGCTTTAAGCTCGTACATAGTTTCTTAGTAAATAAGCTTTAGAAAGTTTAAAGGGACTGTTAGTGGAATGCTAGTCAGTTATATCTCTGAGAGTTTGTGATGTTGTTACAGCTTTAGAACTTTAGTGAACAGAATATACGTATTAAACGTTAACTAAAATAGGACATGTTTGAATGTAATTCTGGTTGCATGACGTAATGTTTTACATGTGTTTAACAAAATTGCTTAATTATAAATATTGAATAGCTTTAATAGGTATTAAACGTCACATGTATGATATTAAAGATGTAAAATATAAATGTGCTCAAAATAAAATTTTCCTATAACCTATTTCCCTAAAAAATGCGGATAAAGATATATAACATGTATATGTAAGATATAATCCGTTTTATCTATATTAAAAATCAATAGCTTTAATAATTTTTGCGAATATAGTTCTCGAATCCGCAAAATTCTCACGAAAGTCAATCACCGGGTGCCACATTGGTCCAATTCACGGGTCATATGGATGTTATCGTCGAAAATGAAAATAAAAATTGTCGAGTGCTTCGATAAAACTACGTCAGAGTTAAATGAGATCGGAAGCTCTCGATCAAACGTGGCGACGAGCCGTCAATCGAAACAGCCGTCCGTCGAAGATATTGAACGAATGTCGATTGAATCGCTTTCCTGTGAGATTGCAGAATTCTTATTTCACGTAGATTCAAACGTGCAGCGTGAAAACATGATGAGGAATATTATGCCTATAGAAATTATGCAAAGTAGCGATCTCATTTTCTTACATCAAGCTTCCTCTCTCTCATTCTTTTTCTCATTTTTTTCTATTCTTAATTCACACCACTGGCTTTCATCGGGCGATCGAAAATGTAACAAAGACCGTACATTATAGATAATTGCACGAACACTATCGTGGCTATTCTTCGGCATTTTTGATTGCCTGATGAAAGTCAGCGGTAATCTTGCGAGAAAATGTAAATTAAAAATAGAAAAAAATAAAAAAAAGAATGAGAGAGGAAGCTTAACATAAAAAAATGAGATCACTTTTACATAATTTCTATAAGCATAATTTTCTTCATCATGCTTTCACACTGCGCGTTGGAAATTAATAAATCTTATCTCCTCTAGATGATATGCTCGTTTACAGTTTATACCTTCTTTAAAGAAGAGATGATCTTGTGGATGATTTAACCGTAAATTTATATTTTCCGAGAAAAGCCAGCTGCGCCTTTCGCAATTTTCCTCGGAGAAAAGGTCGAACGATTGCTTCGATGATCGATTACCAGTGACACGATTTTTTTCGTTTTTTTTTCTCAGCTTATTCTTCCTCTCGGTTTCATCACCGTCTTTTCCGCTTATTTCTCAGTTTTCTGTTCCTCAACGGAACGCGCTTAACCGTCCGGAAGCTATTCTCTCACATGCTGTTATTGACCTACTGAATTACTATATGTGCCTGGACTCGTTGATGTACTCTTTCTCGGGTATGAGATAATGCACAACGCCCAGAAGGTCGACAACTATGCCAAAGATCTAAAGAGAAGAAAGAGAAAATGGGGGAGTGAGAGAGAGAAAGAAAAGAAGGTGATTGCCCGTCTTTACGATAAAAGAAAAAGAAATACTCGTAGAGATATCACGAGCTCTGCTCTCGGCGAGCTTTATGTCGGCTTCTACAATGGCCTGTACAATTTGCCGAGCTGAATACGAACGCTGTTCCACACCATATACCAGAAGATTGCAGTCAGCCATTTCTTAATTCGTTCGACCTGGATTTCACGTCTCTTTTGAGCCGAAGACACCTTTTCGGCCGTGCAATTATCTATGTATTATCGTTGATTCCAAGAAAAATCGTCGTCGTTATCGATATTGTCGGCATCTCGTAATAGTGAATCCAGTAGAAATAACCGACGAGACAGAAATAATGTTAGACAGGGACAATGCGACGCAGTTAATGCATTCTCCTGATAGTTCGAATGTTATTCGAAGTTTTACAGTTCCACGCCAGCATTACATCTCGACTCGAGGTTTATTGCCTTTCTAGAGGATGATATACGCACTTTTTTTTCTAACACGATTTCGTGTTAATCATGCTACGCGTTCGCGCTTCAACTCAGGCTTTTAGTTTAATGAAAGAATGGGTCATTAAAATTTATTCGAGGTTCTATTTTAAACTCGCTATCTGTATACGTTTCTGACATCGATGTGGACTAAATTCATAAGAAACGTGCAACTTGTAAATCGTGATTTCTAAACTACAAGATTACATTAATTGGCATATTTGCAGAGAGAAATTACTTACTTATTAATTTTACGAATCGTCTGCTTCAGCGCAGGAAAATCCGGTCGGTCCGCGGCCTCTTGCGCCCAACATCGTCTCATTAGAGTAGCTACCTGTAAAATGATATTCGTTTCATAAATATATTTATATTTTTCTTTTCGATCAAAGCGGTATTTATCATTTTTATAATTTTTAAATAATTTTTAAATTTATATTCTTCTTTTCAGTAATTAACTTAAATACGTATTTCTATGTGAATTTGTATTCATTCTAATTTTGTATACCGCGCGCCGAAATCTTTTTCTTATTTGTACAAACAATTTAATAAATTTAAAATACATTTTGGCAAAAACAGGCGAGCAACTAATAATACTATATATGTGTTAATAATATGTTGAACTATATGAATATTTTATGATAATACAATTGATAATGCTAATGAATAACCCATTGATTATCATGTGCAAATAAATCTTGCATATATGTAAACATGAATATGCGAATACATTTAAAATATTTGCTAATATGATATTTACCTCTTCTTCAACGGAAGCATCATCTATTACAGGCCTTAAGGGTGAACCGCCACCTCTTCTAACACCTTCTATTATTTCTGCAACAGAGACGAAGTGTGTCGCATGATATCAAAGTTCACAGGGTAATGTAAAAGAATCTCTTCATGAGAAACAAAAAAATAGAAAGAAAGGAAAACGTGTGGAAAATAATGTGCCTGTTGGGCATAAAATATCGATTGTAACGTGCAACTGCTCTATAGGACGAAATAACATGTTAAAAAACAATACCGCGAGATATCCAGCAATATTTCAATTATATATTTCAGAATTATAATGTCCCCAATCGCGCAAAATTATGCCCGTGGTTCAGTGAATCCGTTTACGTCAGATGATGATGTCTGCTTAGTGCGAGGAACTTTCTCCTTCGTCTGCTTACTAGCGTGTTTCACTACTGTCCACATATTATTTTAAAAAGCAAGCTACAAATTTTCCATTTGATCTTATTGAATATAATCATTCGTATCGATTTATTGGAGCATCTAATCCGCAAATTTTTTCAATAAAGTATATTTACAGACTGACGTGAACATCCCGGAGCATCAACGAATCATGAAACTATAGTACGAAATCTTATTGAAAATAATTTTTATTTTTGTCGAAGTTAAGAGATAGAAAAAAAAGAGGAACAAGCCGGATCAGTCAGATCTATATTATATTTAAATATCTTCTCTTTGCTTATATAAAAGGTAATTTATTCCTATCTTGCGACATAGATTTCTTTTTATGAGAATTATACAATACGCGGGTGAGCGTAAGTTATTACATACCTAATACATAACTAATGAAGAATCTGACAGAAGATAAGATCGTCAACTAAATAAAACTGTGAAAAGTAATGGCATTCGAAACCATGTAATCATCGATAATACAGTTTATATTGTTAAAAATTTCATGAAATTTAATATATTTTTAAGTTACACAATTTAAATTTAATTTCATGACATTACACTAAATTTGATGTATTTATAATTAAAAAGTATATTTGTGTACATGTACATGACATTAATGTCTTTTTCATGAAAATTTATGAAATTTAATGTATACATTTATTACATTTAAGTAACTTCTGTAACTTAATTTTCAGTTAAATTTAAATCATTCTTTTAATTTTGTTCATAATCACGAGCTTCATTTACATGTAAAGGGAACTCGTGGTTACATTTTTAACGGTCTATATTTCTGATCATATAAATAACATACGCCAATTTTATCGCAGATAGAAAAGAATAGAGATCAATTAACGTGTCTACATTTACCGAAACTTCGCCCTAGTCTAACTGCTAACTGGTATATCTATTCCATAAAGTTACAGAATTAGTTAAACGGGTGTAAACGTCAATATGAGAACCGAATTGAGGTAAATTGACAAAGGGAGGTAAATGTATCAATGACAACAGAAATTTAATTCTCTTTTATAACTTGTATGTGCGAAGAGACGGAAATAGAATTTTACCGTAACTGTTACAGTTACTTTTTTAAAATAAAAATTTTTATTATTTAATGTCAGAATATGTCTGAAATGGGAACTGCCTTTTATAATTGAAAACTGATTGAAACAATTACAATAACGTTTAATGTATATTTTTAATTTTTTCTACTTTAATTAATATCTCTTTTTCAATCTTATTCTTTTTTTTTGTAGTTATAATTTTATTTGAAATATTAATATGCATTTACATAAGCAAAACTGAAATAATATGACAGAATCGAAATTACATGAAAAATCTCGGTTCGAATAACATTCCATATATTGCCCATTATGAGAAAAGAAATATTTGCAAGCACTATTTCATACAAAATCTTGAAGTATATTTAGTTTGATTCCTGTGTATCAATATCATCATATATTACATTCCTTGAATTCCTGAAATAAAAAAGGTCCGCTAAATTAGATACATAATTTCTATTTAAAAAGGAATAAACAAGGATTTGATGAAATAAAAACAAGTAAAGAACACATTTTATAAATTAATAATTGTATATATAATGTAAAATATACATGGAAAGTATAAATAACATATACAAATAAAATTAAAATAGTAATAATGTAATGCATAATCATAAGTTATTAAAAGTTTTACAATATGTGAGTGCATGCGTGAGTGTCGAAAAGTACTAATAAATTAAAATAGATAGAACATGTTGACGTTTATTAAAAGTAATATAAAATTTCAATGAAATTCAGTGAAATCACAGAAATGAGAGGTATTTTTACGTTATTCTATTCCAATTACTAATTATGCGTATTATTATTGCATATTTTATAAAATTTCTCTTTAACAAAATGAAAATCGACATTAATTTATAACATATATCGTAGGAAATATTCCTAATGAAAATTCCATACTCCGAAATCCATATAAACGTCACAAAATCGTTTAATTTTGTACGAGATTAATATCGAATGTTATATTTTGGCGGATCTCTCTGTTCTCGGAAGCCAGAAGGTAATTACGTTTATGATATGATTGATAGGATATCGAGTTCAATCGCGGTTACAGGAAATCGGAACCCGTTGTTGCGCACCAAGGACAACGGACACATACTGTGCCTGTAGATGTCCTCGAGGAACAAGTTGCAGGATTCGCAGTTGAGGGTGCAATGAGGTCTGCGAACTTCGAGGAGAGGACTGACGGCCCTCCTGGGACTGGCCCCACCGTCGGGATTTGTCCCGACTTGTGACCCTTGTGGCAGGGTTAGACTGCTTGTGCTTGAGGCTAAACTCCTATCCGCCATTCTGTCTTCGTCCTCGAAGAACCTGGCCGTCGATCAAGGGAGAGCCAAACTGCCTCACCGGACAGCCCTTGAAAATTTACCGTTGCGATATCGGATTTTTTCTCCTCGTTCTCTTCCATTCCTTCGCATACATACGCGTGCATGCATGTGTGCATGCAGACACGCAGGACATAAATGTATTATAATTCCACCGAGTCGGCATACCCGATAAAAATGTATATGAGATAGTATTTTATAACCCGCGAATATATACTATTTTCCAAATTTCATATTCAAGATTTCTCCGGACGATCGCGAAATTTCACGGTTGAATAATCGGATGTGGTACATTCATGCGGAAAGTCCGCTGAATATCGTGTGCCGTTTTTTAATAGATGGAAACTGTTGGACAGCATTCTTCGATTATTGTAATGTACCGTAAAAAAGGAAAATTTAAATACAGACAAAAAAAAGGGATATTTATTATACTGTTAACTCAGATATAAATACTCAGATATAAATCATCTTCGTGATTTATACGTTTTATATGATAATAATTTTGTTACATAACCTTTTGCATAAATAATATCTAAATTATATATATATATTTTTTTATTTAGTTTTAAGGTATAACATTTAACTCTAGAATTTGAATTGTCGAAACATTTGTTATATAAATTTATATCATGTTTTTCACAATTAATTAAGGTACATTATTTTAGCATGCATAACAAATGTATATTTTGTTATGTTTATCTCGGATCTGTTACAACAAATAATAAATTTTATGCAGAATTAATTCTCATTTATTGTTCAGCATGCAAAAAAAAGTGGACTGCATTCGACGTACTGTATAAACAGTATCTTTGCAAGTTATTAAAACATTTATCATTCTTCTTTCAAATATGGTGTATTTATCTTATTTCATACTAAAACATTGCGTATTTTCCCAAGGAACTAAAATAATATTTATTAAACATTGGATCGTTAAAATATTTTATTTTTTTCAAAAACCGCGTTAAAATTTGAGTTACTATTATATATAATTATTTAAAATTATTCATTAATATTCCAATAGCCGCAGTTTCTGCAAATAATAATTATTATAACAATTCGATTAATTGAGCAATTAAACGAAAATTTGTTAAAGAATTAGTCATGTTCCATAAAAAAGTATAATTTTAAAATGTGTTTAATAATATAATATCTAATGCCGAATAAAAATTGTCACGGTACATATATTTTTTAAGATAACGCCGATCTTCTGCTAAATCGTTTTGTAGATGTTACATTATAGAGCTTTGATGAATGAAAGCTATTATCCAAAAGCTTTCTTCAGAGTGCTCGAAGTTAATAAGTATGAGCATCTTAAAGTTTAATTCGCATATAATGATATTACGGTCGATTTATTCGATGGAATTTCGTAGAAAACTTACGTCTTATCGGCCTTGAATCGTCGCGTTTGACTTTGATTTCTTTTCCGTTGGTTTCTTTTTAATCCTTATGTGATCATTTTATATTACCAACGATTCTGTTTTCGTTTGAATTCACAAGTTCACACTTTCGAAATTTCATCAAAAAATGCATTAATTGTCGTGAATAGTCGGCCATTAAACTGAATTACATGTAATCTGCATTTAATAATTCCCCGTTTCAAATTATATCCAAAACTAAAAAAAAGGAGAGATTTATAGCATTTTATTTAAATGAAAAAATAAAAGAATTATTGAAGATTATTGAAAATAACTGAAAATTAATTAAAAATGAACTGGTTCTGGAAACAATTTTGACAAGTAACAAACCGCTTCATTAAAATATCAAACGCAAATATATTTTTATCTCCGTTATATATAAAAAAATAAAATAGTTCCCAAAAATTACTTGGATTGGCCATCCGATCCTTTTCAAAGTTTAAGATATAACCTGCAATTTCTCTTTCACCTTACCGGGATTTCGCCGCAATAAGGAAACTCTCGCGTTTATCTCGACAGCTGAGTTCATCCCGGATCTCTTCACTTCCACTAACCCCATTAAGCCTTGTCTTATCGTATACGCTGATTTTACTTTCCAACACTAATCACTACACGACACGCCATACCTTCCACGTGTGAATCGTAACTCGTTCATGGAACGAGGAAATTAATTTGTTCATATCGTTGTTTTTGTCGATGACCAAAAAAATATCTCGTGGAATTAATAACCGCAAGCAACGAGCTCGTAACCCCGATTTCACCGCCGAGTAAATTAGCATGAACGCTTTTCATCATTATCCTCTAGTCAGGACACATTTTGCAAGTGAATTATTCAGTATAAGAAACTTGATAGTATATATATATATATATATATA